ATCTGCTAACTTATCTGGAATATTATGAATCATCAAATAGCTAAAATTTAAACATAAAAAGCTGTAAGCAAAGATAAATTACTGAATGGCAATTATAGTAACTATAACGGACAGTGGACACGAATGTATAATGYATACCGTATACGTATATCTTGTATGTTATATTACAATTTCGTTGAAATACTATTAGAATTTAATAATAACATTTCTCTAGGCTTTAATTTTAATATCACATTTCTGTGTACCGTCAATAAAATAAAATAAAAATACAATATTGTTTTGTATACAAAAGTGATCTGTAGTAACGGATTATTGTAACCATCATACGTCCATGTTTATGGTTCCACGCATTCTAACTATAAATAATTAGATAGAAATGTGCATACTAGTCATTAACATTAAATTATAAACAATATAAACACACAATATTATACGGAATAAAAACAATTTTTTTTTTATCATTAATTTTCAATAAGATAATTTTACTATTATATAGATGCTTAACTATTTATTTACTTACTATAAATTTAATGTATTGGTATATTGTGTCAGTGACGAAGCTATAGGGAGGGTGCTGTAATGGAAATGGGTCCCTAACCCCCGAAGTCTCAAAAAAAAAAAAAATAATAAAATTAAAAATGTTTGTATAGTTTATGAAAGCTACTGCAAATACAAATTTGTATATAGTCGTAAAGGAATTGAAATTTAAATAAAACTTTGGCATCGGTTTGCCAAATTTATGCGAGACTGTAGTTAAACCAATTGCAGTGTAAACACATTATTAGTCTACCCTTACCTCCAAAGAAAAATTTTAGGTAAGCTGAAATTGTAATATGTTCTTATTTCGTATCAAACATTGTGACAGTTTAAGATTCCTTAAATTTACATTTATAACAGTAGTATATATACTATAATATATACTGTTTAATAGTGTACAAGTGATTATAAAATGCTTACCTATATCTTAAAGTCGAGTTGATAAACTGTAGATAAAAATGAAAATATAAAATATAAAATAAACTTGTTAAAAGTATTTATCATAATAATATGTTGAAAAAATATACTGAAATGTTGTTAAGTGGAAAATAAAAAATATTACTACGATATAAAAATGAAGAAATAAGTAATACCTATATGAAAACTACAGGAAATAAATTAAGACTATAATATAAAATTATGAATTCGTTTAGATACGAGTTAGAAGATACGAAAGAGACACAAATTACATGAAGAAATTATGATTGATTTCAGCGAAACTTTAATCATACAGTTCTTCTTCCCAGGGTTTAAAATCTATCATGTATTTTTCATTGCAACTCCACTTCATTGAAGAATACCATCTAAAATATATTAAAAAATAATATATTATTTTAATAGTAATATGGCAAGTTATATTGAATACGTTTATATTCTATATTAAATCATAATTTATTAGTAGTAGTAATAGTAGATGCATGGCCCTTGTAATGACTTAAAATGCAAAGTTATTGCATAACCAAATAGCTTATATAGTTATATTATTGTTTTAAACAAAATGAAATAACAGCGCATGTGCACGATTCAGGGCATGAATATGCATATAGGCTATTCCTTTACGGCGCAATTTCAATTTATTAACTTGATAAAATGATATAGTGGGGGTACTGTTGCAATAACCCAGTATATTTWATCCATTATTCTTGTTGTGAGTTAAATCTAGTATTTCCACTAAAAATCAAAGTAAAAACTAAATAAAAAATATTTCAAGTTGTTGATGTTTTAACTAATTTTATGTCGAGTTAACTATTATATAACTTATTATTAATAACACAATAAAAATATAAATTATATTCTCACCCATTGTCAACTTTAATGAAAATATTTTTTTGTAAGTTATCAACGGACGAAGTAGCGCATATAATGTGATCCAAATTAATAGATTTAAGTACTTCAAGTTGATCTGGAAATTCAAATATAAAATTAAATTAAAACATTTATCTAGCGTATAAAAATACAAATGTGTGATGGGCACTGAAATATATAATAAATTAATTACATTTAGAAAATTGACCAGATTGCCCTTTGTTATCGTAGAAAAATCGATCACCAACTCGTGACCTATAGAAAAAATCACCAATAATACATCGCGAGGTATTTCCAACTAAAGCATCATTCTCTGGCGTCTCCAACAAAGCYCCTACAATAAAGTCTATGTCATCCACAGAGGAGTAAAGTGTCTCCAAATGATATATGTCCTGAAACAAAAACAAACCATTAAGTGGTTGAACATTAATACAGCAAATAATTAGCAATTCACTGTACGAAATGGTAATGTTTAGGCGCTTAGCTATTAGAACGCATATAAGCATTATAATAGGTTTCTATTACTTTAACTACAATCACCGGACTCGTCAACTATTACTTAGTCATCATTTGATTAATCACCTGATCTCGTATTAAGAAAAATAAATATTTTATTATTTTATCACTCACATCTATTGGTATAATATCAATCAAATCACTAAATGACTTAGCAACAGGCAATCCACATAATTCTCTCATTTTATTGTAGGGGGGGAGACCGGTATCACGTCCTCTTTGGATATCGTACGATAGGAGATCCACGCCAACCGAATTGTTTGAATGAAACATTAAGTTAGAAATCTATTCGAAAATACCGAAGCTATATTATCAGGTAAACAAGTTAATGTTGAAATATTAATTATTATTTATTTAATAAGAACACATTACCAAAGGATTGTATGATGGTTGACTCATACGTCCTTCCGTACTTAATAAACCTCGAAGTAAGTGGTCATAATTTGAGCCTTGTTGTAAGAGATACGGGCAGTTCATCCAGTCTGTAACATTGACTATTTGGACAGTTGTGGAATTTGAATCAATAAATCTACAAAAAATAAAAATAAAAATTTCATGTGTAAATATTATAAATATAAATATTTTTTATGAAAATATATGTATTTTAGTTTTACCTATGTTGAGCTGGTACAATATTGTGGAGTACACGAAATGCACCAGTTGAAAACTCTTGGGAAGTTGACGCGTCAACAGTAGGATCATATTTATTGTTACTGTCAAGTATTTTGTCCTTCGTATAATTTTTGCCTAAATAAGGTCGTATCATGGTATAATGCATAAAATGATAAAGTTTTAAATGCTGGCAGGTAAAATATTTTTCATTTGTATTACATACTTTATTACTTTAGAGTTGTATAAGCATACCTAAAATTATTGGTAAAAACTGTGTGTATGTAATATGTTGGATAATTGCACCAACAAATCTGCGAGATTCTTGRTATAACTTTTCATCAGACCACAAAGCATTTCCAGTTTTTAGTTTAAACGCTACGAAATTGTGGAATCTTAAAAACATATTGTGAAATAGTGCTATTCCAAGGTTCAAGTTTGCACGTAAGTCTCCTGTAACAGTTAACAACTTAAACATTAAAGTACATGTAAGATGGTCGGAGCTTATAGTGTCAATGTGTAGATAAATTTTACCAGATTTGTAAAAATATTTGTTARTATCTGAAGTTTCAAAAGACGAATGTGGACAGAACTCCTGGCTATTCTCAAGAACAGAAATTAACGTCCCTCCAGTAAATGATCTCAGTGTTGATACAACGTAATCATTAGAACCATAAATTTGAGATCCATCAATAAAATGTGAAGCATCGTTTATCTATAAATACAAGTGGACTGTTATTAATTTTTTGGATTAAAATTAAATGGTGGCTTAAAAAAAAAATCAAAGTAAATTATGTTATCAATAATGCATTAAAAATATGTATAGTACCTATATAAACAGATTAGGAACAATAAATATGGATGAACTATACTTCTAAACTTTATGCAACATTCAAACTACTAATTTATTGTATGTTTCAACTTGTTAATTATATAAAATTGGTTTTACAAAACCTAAACAATTTAAATTTGAACAGTACCAACAGCTAGGCCTGTTTTATTGGCCAACAACAAGATTTTCAAGTTAATTGTCAATGAATAAAAATTAAAACATGTATTTAGATCACAAAATATGTAAGGATTTAGGAATGTATTACTGAAAAAACTAAAAAGTGTAAAATAATACTATCTAACATAGAAAWTTAAAAAAAATTTGATTGGTTTGTGAAAAATTAAATTTTTAAAAGTCAAATAAGAAATACTGAAACTTGGTGATATAACATTAGGTAGCTACTATTTTATATGGTATTATAAATTTGAGTGCAATGATATATTATAGATCACCTCATATAGGATGAATGATAAATAATATGATGATGATGTCTTACAAACGTCAATGGTTGTAAGGGACAGTTATAGTTGTTTGATGTAATCGCCCGATTAAATTTCATGCACGTTGAGTTGTATTTTGAGTATACGGGATCGTCTATTGGTATTTTGATAGAAGCTTCGCATTCTCTTGAAACCCACGCTTTATTTTTAAATRCATCACAACAATCTAAAAAATTGAATATTTTAATTTTAATTTTACGTAAAAATATGAGAGTAAGTGCGAGTTAATTATAAATTTCAAGAGATAGATACACATTATCATAATATTAAATATAAAATTAAAAAATTGTATGATGTTACCTTCTCCATTTGTATCAATCGCTAAATTAGAAACATCGTGAGCCACGAATTGTCCCCATTGCATTAGTAGTTGGTTATGCTTGTCTGGAATTCTTATTTGTTTATTTAAAAACAGCTTCACTTGAATTTCTCTTGCACTCGGCAATGGTTTACCATCGAATGATGTGCGTAATTTAGAGACCCCTTAAACAAAAACTCAACTTTAGATATTACAATACAGGTAAGACAAAGACAATCAATATTTTTYAACATATTAATAACGCATAATATTAGAAAAACTTATTAGTAAATCAGTTAATATTATAATTTTTTTTATGAACTTTTTTTTTCAAAAGCACGCCCATTACCTACCACAATATTTACAGCTCCTACCATCAGGTTTTAAAACACATTTCATCAAATTTCATTGAAGCCAAAAATGAATTCAACATCCAGGACAATCTATAATATGAAGTAATTGGTTCATTATCAGATACCAAAAAAAAAAAAAATAATAATAATAATAATAATAATAATTTAGATTCTTGAACAAATCTTAATGTATTATTATTTAATTATTATTGTAATATACTAATTGTTATAACTAAAGTTTTAGTTGACGCTATAAACAATATAAAATTTAAAATTTAATGTTTAGATATATTATAAAATAATAATAATAACTAATAAGATATAATATGATACTGTGACTAATTAAATAAGCAATTGTAAAATATTTATATTAATATTTATTTTAAAGGTAAAGTATAGATTAGTTTAAATAATAAAGTATAGGTTATGGGTATATGTTATAGTATTATTATTTCAATAATAATACTATAGCTAATGTATATATAATAATATAAATGTAATATTGCGTTCAATGGCCACAGTTGCCGCGGACTGTTTCTTTCTTAAAAAAAAAAAAATTATATCATAATATTATGCATTAAAATCATAATATAATTTACATAATGATCACTCGTTTATATAATCAAAAAATATAAACCGAAACCAAATTGTATACTACGAATATTAAATTGACCTTTATATCAGAATCACTTTGAAGTTTGTACCGGATTATGGAATCATTTTTATAAACATTTTTATCAATTTTATTGCTTTTCAAACTGATTATGTTAGAAAACTAAGAGCTGGTATAGGTATTAAGTATATAAGTACAATAAAATTGTATTTTTTAASTCATCAGTGTATCGATATACATCCTGTCGCATAGCAAAATTGTTGTAGTACCTGTTAAAAATTATTTTTACATTATAGGTACGTCAAGTAAACCGTGGAAAGATTTATCTATAAAAAGGTCCACAATTTTGAAAATTTGGAAAAATGTTCGAAAAGAGAAGCCACGTTAATTTTGAAAGCTCTAGCTTATATTAAAAATATTTTAAAAATCGTAAGCAAATTGATATAAATAGAGAAAACAAGACGAATATTGATTTTAATCTCAGGTTATATGAAAATAAAATTAAAAATTACTTCAGTCAAATCTATAATAAAATTGATAGTTTTTTCCTTATTTTAAATGTATTTTTCATGATGTTTTTATTTGAAGTTTACGTAAAAATAAAAACATAGATAAAAATAGAATTAAAAAAATTTTTGTWATGAAATTAACTTGTTAATAGAATCAAAATGACCTGTATTAATGTGATCACAGTGTGTGAAAATCACCGGTATCACTGAATTTACTATTGTTAGATTAAAATATAATATAACCATAACATAACTAATCATAATATTATATCAAATCTAGGCACCTATAGATCAATATTTTTAATTTTCATCAGCTAATATTATTTTCTTATTCACAAAAAGATAATTATTTTATATGAATATTATATTAAATAGTGGCAGTATAATATAAAATGAAACTGCAAGAAGTTGTTTTTTACGGTAACTTGTCACCCGAGTATAATGTAATTTAATCCTTCACCAATTGCATGTACATAATATGCCATATACTAATATTATACTTGATATACGTTTACATAATATACATTACTCCTGTCTTACAATAAGGTTGAAATTTTCATTCTAAAAGAATTTTTAGCTTAAAACTAGATTTAATCTATTATGATGTACTCACACGGATAATATAAAGAAATACGTTTTTGGTAAATATGCCTATTCTGCCCTCTTTGTRGAACAAGCAGTAAGYGCCAAATTTCAAATTTTGAGGTTATTTTATATTCTGCATAATTGCATAATTACAAGTTTTTTTGCTTATGAAAAACACCGTAACTCCTCTATAAATACCTTTATAATGTATTATAAAATGTTGTATCGACCAAAATATTGTCAAATACTAGGGAAAAACGCAGTATGTACAATATGTACATGCATGTAGCATGTCCTAGAGAATAAAGCGGTATATCCAATGGAAATACTGCTTATGTTACTAGTAAAATAATTTCTCAATTTTAAATATTGCATATTTGCGATTTGCCTATAGTAATCTTATCTGAAACAGATTTGTAGTATGTACATTATATTTTTCATCAGTGAATSRTCGTGACTAGACAGCCACACACGCCGTGTATCAAATTTGATCAAAAGCATTTATTGAGCTAAATGACCACGTATTTGCTGTTTTATAATATTTGTTGTTTTTTAATTTGAATATTTAATTCACTAAAATAAACATACTAAATGCAATTTAAATTATTTTATTTTATTTTATTTATTAGTATGATATTTTAATAGGTGGAATGTCCATTGTACACGAAACCAGGTAATAGTTCTAAATTTTAATTCATATAAATATATACTTTTTATAATAAGAAGTTTCTTTATGTGGA